CAGTCCTATAGAGTCGTGAAACATTTGTTTGTAGGCCAAACAATTCAGGAGTTTCACTTTGAAACAGCTTGTTTAGTCTATTAACCGGATTAAGAATATACGATAAAAATGTTAAATAGAGTTCTGTGGCTGGATTGTTCAAAGCATCATAAATAGAAAGAACTTTTGCCTTTTCGACATGGTCAGTGTTGACGATAAATCCAAAATAAATTTTGAGGGCCTCGAACCGTTCAAGAACCCTCAGAACCACACTTTCTAATGATAACCACCGCGTAGCACATGGGTGGAGCATTTTTAGTGGTTTAAGCTCCAGCAAATTTTGGATATCATCGAATTTACTGGTCCTTAGAGGGCTACAACTTAAATAGTTGTATATATCACGACACAGCTGTTCCACGAAGCTTGGGATGTGTTTACATGCGTACGAAGCACACAACGCTATGCTGTGGCACGTACATTTTAACAAAAACAATGAAGGACAATCTCTTTTTAAAAATGCTCCCAACGATTTTTCCCGACCTGTCATGTTGTTGGCGCCGTCCGCTGCATAGCCGATCAAATTTGTTTTGTACGGTATGTTGTCCTCTTCGAAACGCTTTATTATCGTTTGGTACAGGGTCATCGAATCTGTCTCGATTACTTCAACGAGATCGTAGAACAAATCCTTCACCAGCAATTTTTCATCATCCCAGAAGAAAGTTCTAGCAATCAAAGCTAAAGACTTCTTGCTGGCAACATCCGTCGACTCATCCGCTATAAGGCTGAAGTGGGTGTTTGCCAAAATCTCACTCAGGTCCTGATGATGTCCGGCTCCAACAACGTTCGTTATAATTGAGGTTGCCTTTGTACGACCAATCTTTAATCCCTGTGCGATTTCAGAGTCTAAGCATATAGCACGCATGCATGCGGCCATTTGCTCGATTTCTGATGCAGATTTATTATGCTCTGTGCCCCAGGTACACAACTGCAGCTCTGCAGTCCGAATGTTATCTTTGAAGCCAGCCATATATTTATTGATGGGCTTAGATGTTGACAGAGATTGCAAGCTTCTGTATTTTAATATATGCTTTTGTGTCAAAGCGTGCTTGTTTAAATCGGTGATGCCACCGAGGAATTTCACGTCGACGCAGCATATTTTACAGTAACCTGTGTCTTTTTTGGTACTCACCGACAACCAGGGATGCTTTGTTTCCCAATCCCGAAGGTACCTCTGCATACCTTTTTTTACCTTCTTATGGTGTTGCAGCTCTTCATCAAAGGCTGAAGTAAAAGAATACGTACTACATTTAGTGCTACAAGGAAACAAAACAAAAACGCATTGAAATTACCATCATCATTGTCATCATTTGTTGAAACGCTGCATGAGAGTCTTTCAGTGTTACGCTTCCGTACTTGACGACGGAACATTTGAGCAGCAACATCGGAATCAGCACGAACAATGGAAATGTCAGTGGTAGCAGCACAGCTGATAGGACCAGAATAGGCGGAGGACACAGCATGATTATCAGCAACGGAATCTTCTTTAGCAACAGCAGCAGGTTTAGTAGTACCAGCACATCCAGCAGAAACAGAGCGTTTACGAGCATCGAGATAGTTACTACTACTAGTTATACCAGGATCAGGGGTAACAGTACGGCCAGGGTGAGCTTTACGTCCCGATGAATCATTCATATTAACAGATCGGTTAACATGTACTGCACGATTTATCGATGTGGTTGTATCACGACCAGCGGAAACCAATTCTTCAGCCCTAGCTGAAATAAAACAACAACTTAGTTCCACACGAAAAAGGGAATACCAAAATCCATTAAACTTACCATGATTATTGTCATAATTTTTTGACACGCTGCTTAAGGGATTGTCAGTATTACGCTTGTCAATTTCACGGAATATTTGTAGATCCACATTAGGTGTACTTTCAGTAGCAACAGCACGGTCATCAATAATAGAACGGCTCGCGACAGAACGGTCGGTGGCAACAGAACGGTCAGTAGCGGCAGAACGGTCAGTGGCAACAGCACAGCTGATAGAACCGGAACGGTTGGTGGAGACATCACGATTGGCAGCAACAAAACCGCCAGCAGCAACAGCAGTAGGTTTAGTAGAACAAGTACAGCCAGCAACGAGATGGTTACTAGTAACACCAAGATCATAAGTACTGACATTCGTACATCCGGAAGAATGGCTGATATTGACAGATCGCTCAGTACTTAATACACTTTCAGCGGAACTAACTTCTAACACATCGCTAACACGAACAACCCGAAAATCGCTTGTGTCTATCAACGAAACAATATTTCCTATAAAAATTAAACAAGTGTTACTAAATTACGAACGAAAACGTTTCCAAATTGTGTACCTGAATTCAATCGTCGATCTTCTGCTGCGGTGGTTTCTGAATTGCTTTCATTTGGATTTTTTATCTTCGAACTCGATCTCTGTCCAAACAATTTTGATGATCTGGAGGAGGAGGCAGCAGCAGTACTATGAACATCATCACGTCCTTTGTCATCGAGAGCAGCGGGTTTGCTTGTAGTCTCAGCAGCAGAGGCAGGTGATTCTAAAATATTTATGTGAGTGAAATGTTCTTCTGAATATTAAGTTATTAATTACCTTTACGAACAAAATAACTAAATATGCTATTTTGTTTTCGAGACTGGGACATTACTATTTACCAACGTATTACATAACAATAGACGAAAAACTCTGACTTAACCGGAAAGCGCGGCTTTAGGCTGAAGCAAAAACAAAGCTAGACGAATGGACTACGAAAAACAGCAGACATCTTGGACTGGATAACTGAAGTCAAATCACTTTGCTGAAGGGCTATGAATTTTACGTCCTCTCCGCACAGTTTTTGTTTCATCCATCGCTTTTACTCGCGTGGTAAATCAGTAAGTTAGAGAGAAACAACCTTTAATCCGTTCCAACACATTCTCATCGAACTTTTTTGTGCTTTTGCTTTAAACGTCAAAATATTCTGTTCCATTCTCGTTTCATTCCCGCTTGACCCGCTGAAAAACTGATTTATAAAGAATCTACTAGGGTATGCCCATATGAAAATTTGAAAAATCTTGCAGAATATTAAAAGTCTGGCGAAGCGTGATGATTGTCTTTTTGTCTGGATTAGGATAAAAAATCTGGCTGTGCCAGATAAATCTGGCAACATGGCATCCCTGCACCCCGCGACCTCCTCGCCTATATAGTGACAAAGCTGTATCACCATTTATATACCCACCTTGTTCTCAACCGCCGATCGGGTTAGACCATGGTGGGTATATAAATGGTATTACTGTTGATATTACAGCTTTGTCACTATATAGGCGAGGAGGTCGCGGGGGAGGGAAAGTGTGGTTTTAGCTCAGGTTTTAGTGCAAATTGTAAACAAACTCGGTCGCTGTCCCATACAAAAATCCAACATGGCTGAATCATGAATTTGACACATTAGAACACCTATATGTAGTCACCTTGGATTAGACCTTCGACGTACACGAAAAGGTTCACGGCGAATGAGAACGACTCAAATTTGAGTTTAGTTCACTCATAATCGCCAAAAGTGCAGGAACTCAGCGATGAGTTAATTGGCATCTTGCAGTGAAACTTTTCCAAGCTTTCGCCACCTACATTTCGAAGTGAGAACTACTAGAAGGAGGATAGTTACCAAATTTTCCAAGTAAAACAGACGCTTTTTGGCGCAAATCGGTCCATAAAGAAAAACTAATAATTTCCCGTGGAAACTTTTGCTTGAATCGTGTAAGAAAACGTGTTTGAAAACTAATTGTTATTATTTCGGTATGGATCGGAGAGGTTTTCATGGAAAATAATGCATAACAAGTTTGCACCCACAGCGAGAGGTTACCTCCTGCGCAGCTGCATTTTTCGGAAAATGGTGAATATGTGCGATTTCCACTAAGATGAAAGTGGAAATTAAGTTAATTTACTTAGGAGAGATTGTATCATGCTGGTGATAATGGAGAAATGGATGTATAGGACGCCAATATTCAATAAATGTTCATTTTGGCCGTTTTTAAGCAAACATATTGATACTCACAATTTTCGACGGAAAACGCACCGGAACTTGATTTACTCAACAAGCACCATACTATGAAATGGTGCTGGATGGTCTTCAAAGTGATAACAAGATGATAAATCATCTTTATTTGGAGTAATTGAGCAATTTACTTCTGTTTACATCATGTTTACGATGCAGCATTGATGGAGCCGTGAAATGAAATGAATATATCTTATGAAAGTTTATCTGGAAAAGTCAAAGATGCACATCAGTCTGATCGTAAAAACGTTTTCTTCTTCAATTCGAATGTTATATTGGAAGGATTTTACGCAGGCTTGATGAAAATTATGATTTAATGCTATTTTTCACGAATTTTATATGCAGTCTGTCAACATTATCATCATCATGCAGTGGCGACATCTGCGTTGAGCTTTTGCGGCAATCTTCCAATTTGCCTCATGTTTTCCCACACGGTAATCGCAAAAAACTCTTTTATGACTATAAAGTACACATTTTTGAATGATAACGGGACTACCCACAAAATGAGTAAAATTTTACACATTTATGAGTAATTACTAGTACAAAAATGAATAAATTTTATGCATTTATGAGTACCAGATACTCATAAAATGTGTAAAAAATACACACATTTTAGGTGTAGTCCCGTTTTAGCCGAATATGCATACTTTATAGTCAAAATTAAGTCCTTTATAGTCATTTTTGCTCATTTTGCGGTTTCCGTGCAGGTTTTTCCAGGATTTTCCAGGGAAAAATTTCTGAATTTGAGAAAAGTAAAGATTGGATTCACTCAGTCTATTGGTACTACTCCTAGACTGAATAAAATTTTCATCAATTTCCTCATTTTCCGGCAGATTTTTTAGGTTTTCCACAGGAAACCATGGGACAAATTTTACTCATCGCTGAGTTCCTGCACTTTTGGCGATTATGAGTGAACTAAACTCAAATTTGAGTCGTTCTCATTCGCCGGGTTGTTTATTTTCATCGATTCCTTTTTCTAACAAAATTTTTAGTCTTATTAAAATGAATAGCTTTATTAAACAATGCAAAAAATCTTTAAAAGTTAGTCAAGTGTGAAAAGTAACAGAAAGCATTTGGAAATAATCGACTTAACATTTCAGCTTCCCCGCATTGTTGTTATCGGCAATGAAAGTTGTGATCTAGATTCCGCTGTTTGTAGCATTTCGCTTGCCTTCCATCTGTCCAGAACCCCCGGTACTTTCCTAAAGACGGTCAATGGTGCGGATTGCGTGGTGCCGGTATTGAATGTGTCGCGAGAGGAATTGCCTCTGAAAACCGAAGTCGTATACTACCTTCATGAAAACCGTTTCGATCTGAGTGATTTGATATGCAAAGACGAAATCAATCTACCGGAAGTGGTGGACGATACGTCCTACGTGCTGGTGGATCATCACATTTCCAAGTACCGATCGAATGTCGTTGGTGTGATCGATCACAGGCCCTTTGATACGAGTTCCTTGCTGAATGCCGACATATTCAAGTATATTGATCAAGTTGGTTCGTGTGCTAGTCTGATTACTAAACTTATACAAGACTCCGGTGCACTACAGGAGAAATCGAATGACAATACCGAGCTGATGAATTTTCTCTACGGTAAGTACATTTTTGATCATTGTCTTTACCTAAGTTCACTTACATATTTCCTGGGCAGGCCCAATTGTTTTAGATACGGTTAACTTCTCAAAAGAAGCCGACAAAGCCCGTGAATTAGATCACCAGATGGCTAAGACCATCGAACAGTATTTGAATATCAAAAACAGCTCTGAGATTCGTCAAATTCTTTTCGATAATCTAGTTGCCAAACGTAGCGACGTATCATGCCTTGATTCTTTGCAAATGTTGTCCAAGGATTTGAAAATTGTATCTCGAAACGGTCGGGTTGTGGCCATACCCGGATATCCTATTCTGGTACAGGATTACATTAAACTAGAAAATGCGGCTACCAACTTGCAACTGTTTGCTCAGAAGACTGGTTCGAACGTAATTGTTCTTATGGGTATGACGGTAAACTCTGAGAATGGTAGCGTGAGAAGGGATTTGGGTATAATTAACATAAATGATCCCAACCTACAGGAACAGGTATACTCTTTAGAATTTACGAGTATACATGATGATTCATTGTTATTTTTTACTTAGATTATTACTGCTGTGAATTCCAGTACGGTGCCCGACTTTAGTTTGAATAAGCATGACGACAGTAATTTTCTCGATGGACACTTCTTTGAGCAACGGAATATAAAAGCTTCTAGGAAGCAACTTCTGCCGCTGATCAATGATGTGTTAGATAATAAATGTTAAATTCTGATTTTGCATACATTTTTCGTAGCTTGAGTTTTGTGCTAATATCACAGCCTAATAGTTTTTTTTTTCAATTAGTTTTTTTTTTAGTTCTGCTCAAATGTCTTAAAAAATTGACATCGAATATATAAAAAGAAAATATAATCTATACTAGTACGAGTCCATCCTGGAAAGCACTTAGTTTTTTGTTTCTGATTTCTCCTGAGAACGCATTTCTTTTAACTCTTTTCTGAAGGTTGAAGTTCCATGTTTTCTCAAGTAGAAATTGAGTCTTACTCTTGACATTTCTTTAAAAGACCTCCAATTCAAGCAACATCTAAAGTTCTGCTGCGCTTGAGCGAAGGTGGAAGCAATCCATAGACAAATAAGGTGCTGTTTATTAACTACGTAGACAGTTTTTTTTGGGATTTCCGACCCCCCTTCCCCTGCGTAGACAATTGTCCACACACAAATTTTTAAATTTGTATGGGCCGTGTATAATTGCCAACCCCCCTCCCCCTAAACTGTCTACGTAGTTTATGAACAGCCCCTAAGATAATATCGAAAACAACATGAACATATCAAGAAGACTGGCAACTTTGCCTGAAGCCGAGCGACAGACACAGTAGCGTTGCGCTCGAGCGAGGTGGAAGCAACGCTCATTGATATGTCTTTCGATAATACACAATCCTATCTTTTGAGCTTGGAATCTTTGATCGGAGAAATTAACTTTGAGCGGAACATGACGCGATTCTGCCTAGTGTTTCCATTTTCAAGCCATTTTTAGCTACCCGGAGATCAGATGGGGCCTAGTTCGTAATGGCACGCTATTATGAAGTCGGAGGCGGCGGGGAAATCTTTCGAGTTGGATTTTTTTCGCCTTCCTTAGAGTATCATTGTGCATGCAATTCAATGTACAAATTTATGCTTCGGTCGGCATTAACAGATCTTAATCAATAACAGTAGAAGCATAGAGGTAACTCTAAGACTAGAAGGTCCCGAAGAAACGTGCTCAACTTTTTGGCTCAACTCTGGTACTCTCTTCGGTCCCAAGCTAATCGATTCACCCCTCAAAACATAGGAAAATCCAATAAACCCTCATTTTATCTGTCAAACTTTCATAGCGAATCAAAACAAACATTGTGTAGTACTAGAATTTCGACTAGAATGGGGTACTTTAATCGTTTGCTGGGGACAAATAGGCTATTCAATTAGTGAGCCAATTTAAAACCGTTAGTTTCGTATTGATTGTTGGTAGAAGCAACAATCAATACGAAACTAACGATTTTAAATTGGCTCACCACTTTAGTAGCCTGTTGGTCCCAAGCAAACGATTAACGTACCCTATTCTAGTTGAAATTCTATTACTACACTATGTTTGTTTTGATTCGCTATGAAAGTTTGACAGATAACATCAGGGGTGTGTGGATTCATGCAGAACATGCAGGGGTGAGTGAAATAGCTTGGGACTGCTTGGGACCGTTGTTCTGGTACTGAGTGAGCCAAAAATAATAATGATTTTCTTCGGGACCCAGTGGTCTTAGAGTTACCTCTATGGTAGAAGTGTTTCAAGATTACTAAGTTGAGAGCAGTCAAAAGGAAACGTAAAAAGCCTAGGAGAAGATGATGATATCAAATGAGTGTTATGAACAACAACGAGACATGAACCATTGAACCAGCCACCGGCTGAAAATAATAATACTGATCAACTTTTTCGAAGAAGGAAACTCTCTAGAACTTCATTTAGCGAAGATAGACTACATTGTTATCTCTACTGGGCGATCTGAAACTAATCTGATAATGTCAAATGACAGTCCTTGACATACTGAACAACTTTGCCCAAGACGAAAAATCTCTAAAACTTCATTTCAGTGTCAACATTTCAAAGGGGCGTAATTGCATTTGTAAACAATGGCTTTAGCCTTCGATTTCTCGTGAATAAAAGCTCAATCATAAAAATTAATGACACCAACAGGTAGAGGAATGTTACCTTTACCAGCTAGCATTGTTAATTTGGAGAGGTGAACTTTTATTAGCGAGAAATCGACGGCTAAAGCCATTGTTTACAAAATCAATTACGCCCCTTTGAAATGTTGGCACTGATTTATCGAAAATAGACTAGAGTGCCATCTGTGCCGGACGATCTGGAGTTAATATGATTATCTCACAGGCAGGAGGGGCATAGTGAACAGGTGGGGCATAGTGAGCATTCCGCACTTTGGCTCTGAATCTCCAGCTGCATGAAACAAATCAACTGGTAGTAGGTTCAATATCATTATGATATTGAAACAGTATCAGTAACAGTAACAGTATCATTATGATATTGAAACAGTAGAAAACAAAAAGCTACCCGATATAACAGTCACTTTAGGAAACCAGATCGTAGAAAAGTGTGATAGAGTCAGGGATCTAGTGTTATTTTGGACTCAAAACTTACTTTCACCGATCATTATAACACAATTATTAACAGAGCTAACAACATGCTTGGTTTCATAAAACGTTTCTGCTATAACTTTCACGATCCGTATACGATTAAAACATTGTACATTGCTTATGTAAGATCGATATTAGAATATTGCAGCATAGTTTGGTCACCTTTTTCAATCACACACGAAGAAAGAATAGAGTCCGTTCAAAAGCAGTTTCTATTGTATGCACTCCGCAAGTTAGGTTGGACTGTATTTCCTCTGCCATCTTACACAGCTCGGTGTATGATCATAAATATCCAAACATTAAAAAAGCGTCGTGAATTTGCTATGATTTCTTTCGTAAACGATATCGTATCACAACGAATTGATTCAATAGAACTATTGTCATCCTTAAATTTATATACACCATCTAGGCATTTACGAAATAGAAATATATTTGCTACAAATCGTCATCGTACGAATTATGCCAAATTTGGACCCTTGAACCAAATGATGGATACATATAATAAGCCCTGCGATAACATTGACTTTACAATGACAAAAACCAAATTAAAGCAATATTTTAATTCGTAGCATAACGTCAACTAGAAGTAATGTTTTAACTTGTTCTTAAGACATATTATAAAAAATATAAACAAAGACAAAATTGTAAAAATAGCACTTAAGACAACAATTGTAAAACGGTCTACACTGATTGACGACAAATAAATAAATAAATAAAAGATCCTACCACCAACCAATTTGTTCCGAACGGCCGGAAGACCAAGCTGGGGCATGGGATTCTCACTATGCCCCACCTGTTCGCTATGCCCCTCTTACCCCTAAGTAGCTGAAAAGCAATTGAATTGAATTGCAAAAATTTTACCGAACAGTTCAGCTGTTCAGATTTCGGTAAAAATTACCGAAGTCGGCGATAATTTTTAAGTGTGGACTTTCCTCTATACTCGATAATAAGTGACTTTGGCCAAAGCAAAAAATAAAATAGCAGTATTTTGATTTTGTCCAGACTGAAAAGCCATTTACAACAGATATCTGCTTTGGCCAAAGTCACTTATTATCGAGTATACACTGAACCAAATTGTCCATACATCAATGTATGATTATTGCTTCACTTGAGCCCCATACGGATTATTTTTCTATTTGTGAAAGATTATCATTCTCTGATTCAGCTCTCAAAGCACAGAAGAACTGAATAGCATTAATTCTAAAACAGGATGATTTTCGTTCTGCACGCTGTAAACCATTAGCATGATTATCATCCATTCTTAGGAAGACTTGAAATGAACAAACCGTATGATTAACATTGAGATAGATACGGACTCGGCATACAGTTTCAAAATAAATTGTCATGCAACGTTTAAATGAAATCTAGACAAACATTTCAAAAGGTCCTATCTGTCATTGAAGCTGATTGGAGAAAAATGATTTGAACTTTTGCAATATATTTTTAAATGCCTTTTTTAATTACGACATAAAACGATAATCTTTTGTATTCTCAAATGCATAGGAAACACATAGAATTCGACTGAAGTGTATGTTTCTTCGTTTTATTCATAATTTTCAGGTTTAATTCGTGGTTTTGTTACATAGGACCTTTGGCTTTTTTCTGTATCAGTTAGGACCTGTCAAATTGGTCTGATTGCAAAGTTAATGTTACTTAGGACCTTGGTAAGAATACGGTTTAGAGGTCAGATAATTACAACTACATCATTATTTGTAATTGTTGATGGGCTTAAAACTACTATTCTGCCAATTTATTAAGTAAACTACGTTTATAATAAGAACTTGTCCATTATTTTTTTCTGATGTATGCAGGAAAAATGTAAGTGTATGGAAAATTTGCATATTTTTTAATATTCGGTATATTTTTATAAACAAACTCTGTTTTTTCATTCTACATCATTCGTTTTATATTTATTAGCTCAAGCTGTTCATCAATAATTTACATTCATTCATGTTATTCGATCAAATCTACATCGCTGTCCTCCAGTGGATTGAGATCCACATCAAAGTGGTCTACAACCGTATTATTGTTCTTCTTCCTGTTTTTTCTGTTGCAATGTTGCAAAATAATCTTTTTGCTTGACATATGGCATCAGATTGCGTAAATCGTCCGATTTAGCACTTGGCAATTCAAGTGGTTGATCCGCAATTGGATCGAAATCCTCGTCCAAATTCACGCTTGTAATATCGCATGTCGGATTTGACAGAATTTTGAATAAGCTTTTGCCTTGGTGTACTCCTGGAATCGCAATTAATTCGTCAACTCCATACCAGAAGCCGAGCCAGAAGCAGAGCGATTGATTACAGGCATCGTAAATGAAATTTTCTCATATCCCACTTCCCAGTTAGATGTTGGATCCATAGGAATTTCTAAAACTTCATGTTCATCATATTAGTATAGCATTTCCAACTAACTATTATGAGTTTTAGTTTTTCTATTCCACGTGAAACACGAGATGAAACAAAGGTCCTACACACAGAGAAATGATTTTTATATTCAAATGGATATATTTTTGGCTCAGGGCCTAATATATTTTTGGTATTGATTCAAATATATTATTCGATTAGTTCAAAGAAAAATATTTTTGAATCAACAAACCGGTTGTAGAGTCAATAATCTGTTT